TGTCACCAGAAGTATTCATGCCTGCATGTAACAATAAAAACTCAAATTTGGTGCCGGCGTATCAAGAATGTATTGCAAGAGGAAGCGGTATGATATATTGGTGTGTCTGTGAAGATTCCCAGTCATCCAGGTTGTGGTTATTCTGGTAGATTAATCGTAGCAGCACGACTTGCTTGAGTTCCTTGAAGACGTTTCATCTCTCATCCAAGAGGCTTCATCAGTTCTGACTGACTAGTTGGGAGTTCCAGATACTTGTATCCTAAAGGATCCATTAACACCTGAGTTTCGGTTTCAGTTGGGGATTTGTTTCTCCTCCCGCTCATCTTCCTGGGGCGAGATCTTAGGACTGAATTGTAAACAGGTGAGAGGTGATGCCTCAGACCTGCACCTCTGTTGAGGGATGGTCTTTCCAGTTAGATGGCTTCTTTCACCCGTTTCTCAAACCAACTGTCCTCTCTGGCCAAAACCTGTACTTCACAAGACAACAACGTCCTAAGATCTCTTCCCAGGAAGATGAAGCCGCCTTCACACCTAGCCACAGAAGACCCTAACGAACCCCACTGTGACAGGAGGAGCAACAAATCCTCAATTGAAACCGAAACTCAGGTGTTAATGGTTCCTTTAGGATATAAGTATGTGGAACTCCCAACTAGTCAGTCAGAACTGATGAAGCCTTTTGGATGAGAGGTGGAACGTCTTCAAGGAACTCAAGCAAGTCCAGTTGCTATGATTGATCTACGAGAATAGATATATTGCTGTACCACTGACATGAAAAGAATAAATGGATCCGGAAGGAGTAATTTGCTGCTGATTTGTTGCTGCATCCGTATCGTGTAATTTAGCAACGCAACGTCTAAAACGAGTCGGAATAAAGTGCTGGGAACCGGTTGAATATCCTCTTTGTTTGTTCACTGGAGGGATGTTTAAACACACTCGCCTCCTGACCTTCAGCTCACTTTGTTTGCTGGGGGAAAAAAAATCTCTGCCATCACTTACTTACTTACCTGGTCTTCAGGTTGCGTGGAGGCTGAAGTGCTGGCTGCCACCCACTCAGGACAGGACGCACACGTACGCCCGCAAAGCCAGCAGATTAAGCAAAAGCCGAGTCGTGCACGTAGTTTAAAAAATTTTCACACGCAAGTGAATTGCGCCAACACTCAGCCTGTTCCCAGACCTGTGCAACGCAGATCTTGTCGGAGCTTGCAGAGACGCACTCATATATCAGCATGCTGCGCTACACCAGCCCTGTTTTCTCAATGTGGACAGTTTTTTTTTCCCTTCCAGTGAAGTGCAGCGCTAACTTTAAGCATTTAATTTAGTTTTATAGCCAGATTAATCATACCTAGATGCAGTCAGACCCGAAGCACGAAAACATACCACAAACAAGCAATACCATGGTTTATCCGAAAACACAAACGTACCAAGTGTTTACTTGCTTAGGGCGGTTTTATGTGTGTTTGTCTGGCAGTGCTTATGCAGTCTTGGCTAATTGCTTTACAGACAGAGGAGGAGGAGGAGCTCCGCCTTGTTTCTTCTGCTGCCTTTTCTCATAGTGGAAGCCCAGATCTCAGTGGGAAGGGTGTCGGGGATTTCCACGAGATCCAGACTCTTCGTCAAACTGTACCCGCAACAGAAGATGAATATGTATGGACACGTTTTTCAGTCACTTCTGCGGCTTTGGTAGATGATGAACGCATAGACAAATACGTCAGCGCTGACTAAAGCTTGCGTTTGATGTCTGCATTACACAATCTTTGCACTTCGTTGTGCTACTTATGGTCGGCCCCAGCAGCAGTGTGAGAGTTGGAGTTGTGTTTGAGAAAGTAAACCCTGAGGAGAGATAAGGTCTTTCTCCTCTGCCAAGGTTGGCTTAGAGGCGAACTCCCACATTGGGCAGAGGTCAGAAATGCTCCTTCACTTTTTCAACACATGCACTCAGCTGGAATTCCAGAAAAATGGGTGTTTAAGAAGTTGTTACCAACCTTTTATGGGTTATTATGACGGCAGCCACCGTGGAAATTATTTAAATGAGTGTGTCAGTCGCCTTAAGGTAGACAGTAATGTGATGGAAATGTATCAATAAAACGTGTTGACGATTACCTGTGATTTATGTGCCAGGTATGAACATACGCTGCTGCTGAGCCGCCAGCGTGTTGCGTTATGCAGATTGTTTCTGTTGGAAACAGCCGCGGCGAACTCCTCGCCAGGCGCTTCCTCCGATTAGACGAGGAGCTCAGCAATTCCCAAAATGCATCCAGAGGAGGTTTTTATTACAGGATCAGGACGCGGTGCAGAAAATTGAATACCTCCAGCTGAGTCCGTGATGATGATCTGTATTGATGCCAGAGGGGCCTCCTGCTCAGTCAGAGCCCGCTACGGCGGGCACTGTGCCAGTTAATTAAAAGCCATGCCAGGACTGTTACAGTGAGGGAGGAACAAGGGGCTCTGTTTTTTTTCTGACCCCTCCGACTCGTACTGCTGCTCATCGAGCTGAGACGCTGGTACCAGAAGAGCCTCACATGGGGTGCATGCATGTGTGAGGCTGGGATGTTGGGCTGCCTCTCCAAGCTCGATGCTGTGTAGTAATGAAATGTAATGGGACGATTTCTCCCCATTTCTTTTACTAGCTCGCTTTCATGATGGTGGCCTGAGACTGCAGCTTCCTCTCGAAGTGTTGTTATGTATAAATGACCACAGATACTATTTATAGGAAGCAGCTGAATACTTTTTTCTTTTCTTTTCTTTTCTTTTTTACTAAATACCTCATTTGCTCTTTGCACCCTGAAATTTACAAGAGAAATGCTGCTTAAATTACCATAAAATACTATTAACGTAATTATTAATACATCAATCAATTGGTTGAACAAGATGAAAAATGTCTGGAGTAATTGATTTTATAAACAAAGATGCACAACAAGTCCAGTCTTCTAAATTGTGAGCATTTCCTTCTTTTTCATACAAATAGATGGCAGTAAGCAGAGCATCTTTGGAATTTGGAGTGTTAGTCGAATGAAACAAGTGATTTGATACCATCACCGAAAGGTTCAGGGCATTTATTTATTTTTTTTAATCTCAATTTTTATTTCAATTTTACGGAAGAGGATTAGGGCCACTGAAGAAAAAAAATAATACAATTCTGAGAAAAAAGTCAGAATTTTGAGATTAAAGTCAGAATTCTGACTTTTTCCCAGAACATTAAAAATTTTAAATCTCTGAAAAAAGTCAGAATTCTGAGATTTAAGTCAGAATTCTGACTTTTTTCCCAGAATTTTATTTTATTTTTTTCTTCAGTGGCCCTAATCCTCTTCCGTACAATGGCATATAGAATCACAGATACAAAATCATATCTACCATTTTCACATTTCCAATACAGGGTAATATTTGTGACAAACAATATAAAACTCAACAATTATAATAGCAAAAATAATAGAAATCAATAGAAAGGAGGATTAAAAATAAATAAATAAAAAAAAATAAAAAATACACAAATAAAAAAAGGAAAATAAATACAAATACAAAAATATATGCATGCCTTCCTCCATGTTATAATAAGCTCATGGCATCGCTCCGTCTTTTAATGAATAGGTCTTTTTGAAGTCTTAACGAGGAAGTTATTTTCTTCCTCTATTCTCTCAATCCACATGTTGTGCGTTGGGGGCTCTGGCTTCAGCCACCTCACTGTGATGCATTTGGTTTAGAGCATTTTGCATAATTGTTAGACATATTA